ATGTAGTGCTAATAACTGTCAAGTGACAGGAAAAGGCTACAGCGGTTTAGGAATCTTAACTGTCATGTATTTTCCAGGAACATAATGTCATTTTATATCACAATCAAATAACAACGTATTTTTCAGTTGTTAGAAAAATACTGTTTATCTAAAAAAAAAAAAAATCTAACTTTGCATCATAACGTATCTGTCTCTTTAAGAAGTCCTTTTTGACACTCCCCATCCAGCACATCATCACAATAATGCTCCTCCGTTATTTACAACCGTCCTTTAGGGTGTTGGACTGAGAAGTAGCTCATACAATGAGATCAGTAGACGCACACTTCTACCAGATTTTTTGCTAATTGCTGCTGCTGCTAGTCTGGAGGAACCGTGTGGGGTAGGACTGCTCTGTTTGGATGGAAGCTCAACTGTAGACTGAAGCTCTACCCTGGAGCTTTGGATAAATAGGTGTCACTTTCTATGAGCAAACTTTAAGGCACCCCTGAATGGTTGCCACAGGATATTCAGGATTCCTTAAACACTCGTGAAAGAGTGAAAACAACACTCCAGGTATGTTTTCGATGAGGACATAAAATATCATAATATGAGAAAAAATAGATTTTTGGATAATGTTCCTCTTTTAAATGTTGAATTGGAGAAATGAAGCATTCATTTTTATTCAGCTCTCACATCACAATACTTAAAAAAATTTGGTGCCATCACTGCTTTGCTTTGACTAAGCCACTCTGATAGAGCAGCTCCATTCAGGCATTCATTTGCTATTTAAAATTCCACAACATACAATACATATTAAAGCTTGCCGTACTAAAGTAACTAATTGTGTAAATGTTCCCAGCGTATGAATATGTTTGCAAGGCGACACTTTTTTCTTGCCTTTGTTGGCGCTGCTGGTGCATACAGCTGCCAATAGCCTCTGTTGTCTTGCTCCTTTCCCGTGCCACTTGGTGAGTGTTTTGGACAGGCGTTTTGCAGCGACGCCAATCCCAATCGCCCATGCATCCACGCAGATCACAGGTTCTGGTGGGGCGGCGGGGGAAGAGAGCGGACGCAGAGAGGAGATCTTAAAAGTGGTTGTCAGAACTGCTTCTCATTTCCCCCCTCAGCTACCTCCTCTCCATTTCTTCTCCTTCTTCACCTTACTGCCAAAAGCCGGAAGGTGATCAAAGGAGGCCAACATGAAAGGCATCCCTGAATTTCTGCGTTTTTTTTTTTTTAATACTGTCTGCCAGCTCACTCCATTTAATGATATGGAAATACCGAACACAGCTTGTACCTACGCAACTGAAAAACGCTTGGCCTCAGTTGACTTTCTCTTTTCTTCCGCTTCCTCCTCAATCCCCCGCTTCGTTTCACCCGTTCAACATCATCTCTATCCATTCCCCCGCTCATGCCTCTCCCCCAACAGCCCCTCGGGCTTCCAGGTAGATAGCGCTTGATTGGCAGCTGCTGTGACAGTCAGTGGAACAGGCTGAAAGTGGATGAGTGTCAAGCCTTGCTACAGGGGCTTAAAGCAGCATCTGTGTTGTCGCTCTCCTAGAGGGAAAAAGAGAGAGAGATAGAGAGAGAGGTCCATGAAATAAGACTGCCAGCTCCGTGCTTTTCCATGGTTCTCTCAACTGAAGCAGGTGGGAGCTAAATAGGTTTTTGAAACCGGTCTGGAGTTTATCCCGACCCTCGAAAATGGAAAATTCTTTTCTTCTTCCCCTAAATCTTTCTCTCTGCCTTTTCATATCTCTGGTTTTGATTGGTGTGTTTCATTGTAGTCTCAACATTATTTAGAGTCTCCCTCAGCCTCGGCTGTCACGCCACTCGACAATTAGCCGTCGCGTCTCCTGGCCTAGAAAGTTTTCTCTCGCGTCAAAAACTTCTGAGTTCATCTCCAGCATCCTTTGTACAGTAGCTTAAAGGAGACGGTGAGTGAATAAAAGAGAGAGGGAAAAAAAAAATCAAAAATAGAAATCAAAAAGAAGTGTGAACTTGTCTCTGTTCTGAAGTGGTTGCGATCAATTCCCAGGAGGAGGCGAGTGCTCTGTGATGGATTTCACTGCTTTAGCAGTTTGAGTTCTGTCTCACCAAAAGCAAAAATTGCGTCAGTTCTCCCTCCGGCCACGTGCGCCCTGCTCTTCCTTACACAGACAGAGGTCAAAACGCCGCAAGAAAAAGCTCTGAGACATGGAAGAGAGACGTGTGAAAACCTGGTGTCTGATAAAATCTACCTGCTGTTCCAAAGACACTTCACAGTCTTCCATGTAAGCTTCGTCAAATAAAAGTTGAAGCCTTCTCCAACTAAAAAACAAAATTTCTGAAAAGTAGATAAACCTAGTAATTTCTTTGTAAATTGACTAACCCTGCCACACATTGCTTCATTGCATTATAGGAGCATGTGCTGCATCCGGTAAATAATGCTCTAGTGTTTTCTTCCTATTGATACTGATACTTTAGCATACACAGTCAGCTAAGACAGACTGCAACCATTTGTTTGATGTGTTGAAGATTAATTGCCATGTGTCGTAACTCTGCCCCATGTACCACATGGAGTTAAAACCAGACGTTTAAAAACATAAAAAAAAACAACAACAAAAAAAAACAAATTTCTCTTGTTTGATGACCAAAATTATCTCTGTTCGCTAAATGACACAATAGTGAGCGAATATGTCAGATGTTTTATTAATATCTTCAAAATCAAGCTGCATGTGTGCCATTGCTCTGGTATTTACATAAATTCTAAGAAAGGTTTTGCAGCAATGAACCAATATTAACATTCTTTTGCCAAACTATGCAGACTCTCTATCTGCACCAGTGAAGGGTCACTTACTTTGGTTTGCTTCAAAGCTTTGACTCACTCCAAGTTGTTTTCAAACATAATGGATCTCGTGATTACTTGGCCAAGCATTTTTAAACATACCCATACTGAGAATAACTAACTTTGTCTTCATCCCTCAGTAACAACTTCCACACCAAAGAGAGTTTTATTCAAGGACAAAACAGCTGTTATGTGTGGATCTATTCACATTTTGCATCCTTACGTCCTGGTTCATAGCAGAATAAATGGCTCATTACTGGACGTCATAAATCCTGAATTCAGTGCAGGGGTAGACTAATTTGATTATGAAACAGAGGGCTTCGTAGTGGGCAAGACAAGCCGACTTAATTAATGAGACTTTAAAAGTATTTAAAAATGAATAGGCTTTCCCCCAGACAGCAACAACAGTATTAAGCACTTCCCTAAATGGGCAGCTGGCAGGCACATGGCTTGTCGAGTCGTTAAATGCTCCCAGTAACACATGAATGGGAGGCCTGATTATTTCATTGCTAATGATCCATTGGGCTGCACACATCACACTCGGCCAGTGTAAACGGCAAAAAGTCTTTTTGTCTTTTAGGCCCTCTTCTTTTCATCTCTATAAAAATATTTAGCGCATTAAGCCTTCTTCTTGGAAGAACTCACCCAAGACGCACACGCACACACACACACACACACACACACACACACACACACACACATGTTCGCTTTTTACGCTTTAATCTCTCGTTTAAGTTTGTTTGCAGTCAAACCAAAACCGTCTTTTACGCCTTCACTCGTGAATTCGCATATTTACCAATAAGCACGCCTGAGCTATGATGCCTCCTCTTATGTTGGTAGTAGCAGATCGCTTTCCTTTCTGATTGCCTCTCTGGTGTGCTGAGCACATTCGTGATAAACCCTTACAATCTGAGGAATGTAATTTTAACATCGGGATGGAACGTGATTAGGGTGAAATGAAAGCTTTCGGTGATAAAGAGGATTCTCGGAGACGGCACCGACACACGGCAAAACATCTTAAGGGAAGGAAAAGAAGAGAGGGGGAAAAAAAAAAAACCCAGGCTGCTTTAATTGTACAAAGCCAGCGTGAGAGGCGCTGCTGTGAATTACAGCCGCTGTAAACCACAGAGGCATACACGCAGAGCGGCGTGAATTCATATGCAGACACACACAAACACACGAACACGCTTAAGTGTAATACTCTTCTTGTGGATATGAACCAAATCAAACAGAGGAGCAGACATATTTCAGCTTGTTTGTATGCAGATTTTCCTGTGTTCGGGAGATGAAAAATAGCAAATACATGGGAAAACTGTTATTTTTTTTATTTTTTTTTGCTTTCAGATCAACCTAATGTGATATTCACAAATGACTAATTCTTTTTTTTCTGTGTGTGTGTGTGTGTATGCGTGTGTGTGTTTGCAGGTAGCAGAAAAAATATTTAAAATAACTCATTTCAAGTCTTTAATATATGCGTTGTTGTTTTGTCTTGCATGCTGGCACATCTTTCTGCTGCTGTTTGGTTGCTTAGTCTGGATAGAGACGGAGGTTAATCCTCTTTTGAGAGGTTCAGCAGAGGATTCAGCTGAAAATGAAAAAGCCACTTGGCACTGCCGTGTCCTCCCTGCTACCAAAGGTTGTGCAGTATTGCATTCCTTCTGTCTTTGGAATTATTTCAGCGAGGGTCGAAATCCACGAGACTTTCAGAAAGAATTTAAATCATTTGGGTACCTTCCACTGGCTGGCATTTTTTCTTCTTCTTCTGCTGAGTTATGTTACACATTTTCCTCTCGTTATTCGGTCATTTTGGCTCCGATAATGAGTGGTGGTGATCTGATCATGCGATGCTTTGGGGAGTTTTCTCCATCTGGCCTGGGAAACGTGGCAACGAATCACTTTTTGTTAGAACGGAGTAGCAGCTTGCCCTGGGAGCCAAACCTGGCAACCGGGAGCAACCCACGCCCTTACAGAAACACACATGTTTCTGAGATGAGCCAGATCGCTAAATTCCCCCAAAAGAACAAATTATTTGCAATAAAATTCCACAACGACACGTTACTTTGGAGTGAAATGATGCCACTTGGAGCGATTTTTGGCTGTAGCGAATGCAGAGCGTCTGGCACTCCAGTTAATGCACCATTGTGCGGATAAAAAGATACAGTATGTGAAAGCATTTGTTTCATTGTCTCCTCAGCTGGTTGCAGTGTACGAAGAGCAGGATCCACACAATGGAGGGGACGGAACCAGCGCCAGCTCCACGGGAACGCACAGTCCTGAGCCGTTTGCCAGCGAGATGAATTCGGCGTCAGCATTCCAGCCCTACCAAGCTGCAAGCGAGATCGAGGTCACAACATCTGCTCTGCGATCAAGTAAGTCCAACGCGGGCCTGGAAATACGCTTAGCTTGGAGGGTGAGAAAATGCGTGACACCGGGGCCACAGGAGTGAGACGATTTTCTAACAGTATTTTTTTCTGATGAGCTTTTCACCGATTTGCAAAATGTGGTTAGAGTAGAATATTCCAGTTCAGGTGTGAATCTCTCATGTGTCAACATGTTTTATGGTTGTCTAATTCTAAGATGGACCTGGTGCCAAAAGGTGATGGATATTTTCCGTTTATGTGTTTTTTCAAGTAGAAAGGTTTCCTAAAACTCAAATTGTGTTTTGTAAATAATCTGTTCTCTCCAGAAATGTTCAATTCAAGTTTGATCAATACAAGTGTGTCCAATTTGGACTGGAGATGATCAAACATAGTTGTGAAACAATAAATAACTGTGGTATATTCCTTAAGCTTAGCTCTGATAGGAATCTACAAATAAGATGCTAATTTTAATATTGTTAGCTTAAACCTAAGCTAAAGCTAACGGAGTCGCATCATTCTAATTCGTTTTTAACTCTATCAACTTTAAAGTCTTCTACAGAGTTCCCAAAATGATTTTTTTTGTAGACCACTTCTGTCGGCTAGCTTATCTAGGTCTTTATTAATCATTTCTGTCACACACACAACAAAAAAACTCAAGAACTACTACCTTTCCCACTTCAAAATAAGAATCCTGTAGATACAAGCCATATCCAGAAGTCATAGTAGCTTAGACTTCACACAACATAAAGTGATGCTAACAACTAATTTATTGCTGTCTCTTACTTTAATATCAAGAGATCTTGTTGCATCTCTAAAAATGAATTCTTAAGCATCTTCCCTAATGTTTTTACAAGATAAACTAATCTTACACTTCTGGAATAATGCAGTAACTAAGGGCATAAAAAGCATAAGTGTGTTCAAACTGACAAGACAAATAATAGTTAACTTCTAACATTCAAGGCCAATTTCAGTCTAGTGCTAAACTTCACCATATTTGGTTTGTTATGTAGGATGCTGTTCATGTATACAAAACAAGTTTCAAAACCTTTAGAATTCTCTTCAAACTTTATCCTAAAAATCCCGAATTGTTCTAGTTGCTACATAACAGAAAAATCTAATACCGAGTACCCAGCAGTCACACTAAATATGTCAACATATTTTCAGGTATCAGTTTCATTTGTATGCAATGACAGTACTAGCTGTTCTAACTTCCTGATTTCAAAAATCTTCTCAAGGCCATAGCAAACTCAATTTCTTTCTTCTTTTTTTGCAGTAAGGCTTGTACAAATACAAACTTTATAGATAGTGATGCAAAAAAGTTAATTTTGATCCGATTTAGAAAATTAACATTTACAAAATTAACAGAACAGATTATACTTTAACTTTAAACCATGTGAAAATACCAAAAATATTTGTTTTTTAGTCATCCTTTTGGTTTGTGAAAGCATTACTTCCAGCCCTACAGTAGGAGACAAGATGTAGGGATTTATATAGTACAATATGGAACCATAGGCACACGTCTCATAGTGTCAAGCACAGTAAGAACCCAGATTCGGGAAGCAGCTCGAAGTCTGGAGGAAATATGTTTCGAGGGAGAAACCAAGGCACCGCACAGCAGGAAAGAAACCTAATGTAAACCACAAAACATGAAGCAACATGAAAAGACTCGGAGCACAAACAACGACAACGGCGTAGGTGAAGGGTGATGATGAGAAAGATGCACTAAGCAAAGAAAACAGAAATGTAATCCCACAAGCGATGATACAGGTAGTAGCAGTCAATCACCACGGCCCTGCTGAGGCCCCGGGCAGAAAAAAAGCAAAACAGAGAAACTGTTCTGGTGAAAGAACTTTTTATTTAACAAATGCTAATAAAACACAAAAAGTTTATAGTAGGACAAAAGGATTACCTGAACCAATTGACTACAACAGACACAATGTCTTGGTAGATTGTCTCTTGTTCTTTGGAAACAATAAGTGGAATTTACAATCCAAGTTTCCGAGGCATCCTGCAATTTTTAGATCAGTCTGTGCTCAAAAAGCCATAATGGACACTGTGTTATAGCATTTTTTTTTATTTCTATAAAATACTTTTATTACAATAAAACAGGAAATTTGGTTTATGTTGCATGAAATATATTGCTATATTTTGTGTATACACAATACATCTGTTTAGTCCTTCTGCTAAACAATGTAATCATGCCCAGAAGTTTTAAGATTGAAATTTTTATTTTTGGCAAACTTTAGTTTGTACAATGTTCCAATAAACGCATTTAATTTGACATTCAACGAAAATAAGTGTTATGAAGGAAACACACACACACACAGACACTTGCCATTTGCTTTAGCTCAGCCACAAAAACTGCTGGCATCAGTTCTGCGATCTTATCGTTACCTCGAGGGAACGCGTTAATGACGACAGGAAAACTGATCTCACTCTGTTGTTCTGATTGAATTAGAAGAACAGAATGGTTGCCTTAAAGCGGCGCGGTGCTTAAAATCATCCTTCATTGTCAGCCAGGGTTACCTTCAGGAAAACACACACCGTCGCCGTCACGTTGCATCAGACGAGCTTTACAGGCAAATAATAAGTTTTTGTCCGGGTCAACTATTTATTGAGTCATCATTATGAGTTTACAAGTTTGAAGGACACGGATGTAATGATTGACGAACTAGAAGATATTTTATTTCCCATATTATTAGAAAAAAAGAACGGATGATGACAGTGGACATTTGCCCGCTCTATCGGACCAGAAAGGGGAAGTTCAGTGTTTTGGTCCAACTGCATGTACTTCCTCATAGTCGTGGACAGTTGCTCCCTAAAACTATCTGTCTTGCTCTCTGGCTGGAAATCCAGCTTCTGGAAGTTGAGTAGTTGGAGGAGTAGTTTTCCGCATAAACAAACACATCTACGAGACTCAGACAAATCACACAACATGTACAGTAGGGGAGAAAAATTTGCCATTGGGGTTGTGGCATGAAGGGGTGGGCAACATGAGAACACAATGATGCAATTATTGTCACCCAAATACAACAATGAAAACCGACTTTGGTACGTCGACCATTCAGAGGCCTTAAACGAAATGATCCGCCACCATTGCAGTGCTTGGTCAGGAATGGCAGACTTTTGGATGGACGCTTGGTATCAAAAAGGGCAACAACGAAGTCATTTCTCTCCAAGAAAAACATTTCTCTGTATCCGACATCTTTCCCAGTGATCTGCACTGGAAGGAAGTTATTTTCTTTGAAGTCTCCTCCCGACTTTCAGATTGTCTGAAAGAATTTCTGTCCAGACAAGAAAAGCTAACAACGAAATACCCTGCGGCAAACCATTTGAGGGTTTGGCTCTTGTTTAAGCGTCTGGGCTCACAAATCACTTTCCTATCAGTAAAGAATTGGATCTCAATCTTTTCAGAGTGTTTGGTGATGGAAAAGCTTTGTATTCCTGCACATTGGAGTTCCAAGTCACAAGGTAGAAGTGATAACTGTGGTTTGAAAATATTAGAAAAGTCCGCTGATTTTAATCCAGTCACGAAATGTCGTCAATCCTTCAGGCGAGTGAACAAAAATAAATGTGAAGTGACATTACTGATAAAGCAAGAACAGGCCACTATCTATCAGGAATTGGCATGGAAATTGATATCTAGTATGTCAGAGAAAGTTCAACACTGGACCTTTTTTCTTTTCATGGCTATTTTGAAAAACTTGATGCATTTCTTAAGACAGGCTTTACAAATGTGTTCAACATTTTTTTATTGAACTATGGAATAAATTCTGGTAAAAAAGATGGTTGAACATTTCCTAGTGGATGATACATATTGGAAACGTTTAAAAAAAATAATTCTGCACAAACTTTTGAGAGGCACTTAATGCAAAGTTCAAATCCATGATGTCAGCTAATAGCTAGCTTATATTCAACATCAGATCCCGATAATATTGGATTTGTTGAAATTAGGAAATAAAATTACAATCAGACTAATTTACAAACACACAGAGATTCATAAAAGTGGATTAAAAGAATGAAATAATTAAAATATCTTGATTAGCTTTTGTGTATCTATCTATGGCAGGAAATCGCATGCATTATTAGTTATTTCCATTAAATCAGTGTCAAAAGGGCTTGAAACATTATCGTTTATCACAATAATTTTTTGACAATCGCTCAGCAAAATTTATCGTGACAGGCCTAACGCCTTCTATTCTTAACGGTCGTGTTTTTCATTTTTTTCTGTCACACGTTTCTGTCGACAAGTAAACACAAGGCTGAAATAGAACATGCTAGCAACTTTGTGCTGCTTTTTTGAGGCTGAAGTTACTTAGCAACTAAAAGTTAGTTACTAAGTGATGGAGGTTATTCCTTTCTAAAGTTACCTGTGAGCAAAGTTTCACATTCTGAAAGAAGATGAAACTAATACAGACGTGTTGAAAAATGTCCAGATTTTCTGCAATTATCCCATTTTTTTTTTTTTACTCTTGCAGCTGGAGGTGTATTTCCCACAACATGTTTAATTTTTGTGCATTTGTCACATCAAACTCCAGGAATGCAGATGTTTGCAGATCACACAAACATTTAACCATTTAAAACCATTAAACCATTTAAACACACATGCGTATGTCAGGTCGAGCCTAAAAGGCCTTCCCAGTGCTTGCCTCATCATTTTGGCCTCAGTTGTTGAAAGTCTTTGGCGACAGAGTTGCTGAAACGCCACTGAAAGTACTGCCTGTGCAGGAAGGTTGATACCTCAAAGAGAAAGGCCTTCATCTAATCAATTGGGCTTAGTGATCTGTCACTGTGGAGACCGCCTGCCACCAGCCAAGGCCACATTAAAGTCACTGCAGAAGAGGCGACGGACGCAGTGAGAAAAACTGAGAGTACATCTCAGAGCACAGTGAATTAGTCCAATTTTAATATATACTGCCTCACCAAAGTAACCAAGCCAAGACAGGTAATCTATAACACATGTATTTTTTTTTTATTTTTTTTTTGCAGATATTAGCTGTAAGACACTG